CCAATGAGGTGATTTACTGATACAGTTTTGTGTGTATATTTTCTACTTATTTGACTATTTTAGTGGGCTTACTCCATTGTATTGGCTCTTGGGCAGGCGCCTTCCGGTTTCTCCTGGGCACTATCGTTATGGTGGGAGTTATATTACATCCAATAGAACGTAAGGACATTATAGTAATGGGGCAAGTATTGTTTTTCTTTCCTAGCTGTCTACTAGGGTCCCCCCTTGACTTTCTCCTGAGGGCTCAAATACACTCCCAGTTAGGTTGTTTGTTATTTTTCTCTCTCAATATTTTTGACCATTGATCCCATGAATATAGGTTGGCTCTATGGTAGTTATTAGGATAAAATTAAACTTGGAAGGTGTTTATGTTTTTTGTATTATATTGCATATTATTTGTCATTTCTGTCTTAACCACTTGAGCTCCTGAGGATTTACCACCCTTAATGACCAGGCCTTTTTTTGCTGTTTGGCGCTGCACTAATTCAAATGATAAGTGCGCGGTCATGCAATGCTGTACCCAAACGAAATTAACATCCTTTTTTTCACACAAATAGAGCTTTCTTTTGGTAGTATTTTATCACCTGTGCGCTTTTAATTTTTTGCGCTATAAAAAAAAAAAAAAAAAAACAAAAATTTTGAAAAAAAAAAATAACACAATATTTTCTACTTTCAGCTATAAAAAATATATCGTAAACTCAAAGTGGGGGGGGGGGCAATCAAGGGGTTAAACGGGATTACTGGTGTACTAGCGGGAAAACTGGCACTATCTGGGAGGGGGCGCGAACACTATTGGAAGTCGCCAGCGACACTGATACAGTGATCAGTAAAAATCTGTTCACTGATCAATGACACTGGTGACAGGGCAGTGAAGGGGTTAACTGGGGGGGGGGGGGGGGGGGGGCGGTCAGGGGGTTAAATGTGTCCTGGAGTGTTTTAACTGTTGTGTAGTGCTTTTGTACTCACAGTTTTTCTGTATTCTCTCTCTGGGATGAATGTGCCCAGGCAGAGAAGAATGACATCATATCCTGGACAGGATAGAACAGGGACCTATCATCTGATTTCAGCCGGACATCAGTGGCTGAAACCGGATGATTGATCCCTCCGGGATCAAATCGTGACACCCGTGGGTCGGCGGGAGCGCGCGCGCGCACGAACCCCTGCCCGCGAAAACCTCGGGAGCGCAGAGGACATTTTAAAACGTGCTTTTGCGCAGCCGTGCCACCCTGCCACCGTTTTAATGCAGTGGCTGGGCGGCAAGAGGTTAATTTGTACAGTTTGTGAATGTTCCTGCTTTGGCATGGATCCTGATGAAGCGATAATTGAAACTCGATGATTCTTAACACTTATTTTCAAACACAGCGACATAGGAGTTTGTCATGATTTGTTATGTTGGATGTTGTTTTGCAGATCATGTTTTAAAGATTTTGTGATACTATGTTCGGTAATAAAATATTCATCTTTTAAATGGTTATATGGTTGCATTATAAAATGGTGCACACAAAATCCATTTTTCCACAATGCAGCCCCCGTTTAAGGAGATTTGGTAGTATAATTATTCCAGATTCTGTGGTTTAGGTGAAGACAACAGGGCAGGGTGGACAATATTGTTTTGCAATTATGTTCCACAAAATGATGTGCGTTGTTAGCCTTTTAACATGAATTTTGGAAGCAGAATGTATTTTTGCCAAATCAATTGGTATTTTTCTGTACTTACACAGTTTTTAAAAGGTATAAAACAAGGGTAATGTGTATGTATTGCCCTGACATAACTTAACAGAATGCAGCTGCTAATACTTTGCAAGTGCATGTATGAAACCACCACATTGCAAGCTCACCTACTGTGTGAACCTCTCATGATTGGTATGTCTTGAGATGCAATGGCAGAATACACCAGCTGTAACAGATTACAATATTTTCTTTTCCTAATGTCACCCACCCTCTTTCAATAAATTCTTCATGTTTCTACAAAAGGTCCAATTTTTTAGAATACAGGAGGGTTTATCTGCATGCCAGAGTACAAAGACGACAGAGCGTAACTTGTAGGAAAGACAGAATTAATTCTGGATCAGAAAACCATGACAGGTTACGGATAATTCCTGTTGACACCTAGGCTGGCTGCAGGCATTGAAACTGCACTCTCCCACACTCTTTATTGCATAAACAAGGACACTTTTGAGATCCTAGCATTCCTATGTGGATATAAGTTGTCCCTGCAGACACTGGGGGAGATTTACTAAATCTGGTGCAGCTGTGCATGGTAACCAGTTTCTACCTTCAGCTTGTTCAATTAAGCTTTGACAATTTGCCCTGGTTCACATATATGCGACCATGCTTTGCACAGGCACGAGAGCCCGTTCATTTGAATGGACTCCCGTGCCCCATGACACGCAGAGCAAAAGTCCCTGTACTTCTTCTAAAAACGCAGCCCGCACGGGAACCTCGGTTCCCAGTACGGTTGCGTTTTCCAGTGCAGACGGCGTGCCATTAGAACTGTGTGGGTGGTGCGGCTGCACGGATTTTCACGCGGATCCGCAGTGGCACCACCCGTACAGATGTGAACCTAGCCTAAAACCTAGAAGCTGATTTGTTACTATGCGCAGCTGCACCACATTACGCGTGCACCAGTTTTAGTAAATCTTCCCCAGTGCGTCACAGTGGGATTGTACAAGAACAAACAGCCAATTTCTTAGGTTACCACTAGTGTAGTTGTCCATGTTCACAAAAAACATAACTTACTGTCACGGAGGAAGGTATCTGCAAAATATAGAGTGCGAACAAATCCAGTGAAGGAATCCTCTGCTGATCGCGCTTCAATTCTACGCTGTACAGGAGCCAGTTCCATCTCATGCAATGCCTCCTGATCAAACCGTGCATTTGCTTCCTGCACCTGACGCCAGAGAGAAGAGTGTCAAAACATTTTAGTCTGTGCTGAACAAAAGCCAGAACGCAGTCCTTTTAAAAATGCAGAGTAATTTCTCACTTTGGTTGCTGCTCCTTCCCTTCGCTTATTAACTTGACTTCTTCGAATACGCCTGAAGGACTGACGCAAGGACTTTTTCAGTGACTTTACTCGGGACAAAGGACCCTTCTAGGGCTAGCTGGTCACTGGCATGCAATGTACACCTGGAAGTTCAGTGCAAACCTTAGAGTAGAGTAGTATCATACCATAGGGCTAAACTTTAAATTTTGTCTTTTTAAAATTCACACAAATCTACAGGATACGTCAGTAGGACAACATCACAATATTATTTTGCATTTAAAAAAAAATAAAAATTAATCCTATACCCAGAGGAAGGCAAAAAAACCCAGCAAAGCATGATCCAATTTGCTCCTGCTGCGAAAAAAAATTCCTTCCTGATCCCCCGAGAGGCAATCAGATATTCCCTGGATCAACTTTACCTATAAATGCTAGTATCCAGTTATATTCTGTGTATCTAAGAAAGAATCCAGGTCTTTTTTGAAGCAATCCACTGAGCTGGCCAGAACCAACTCTTGAGGGAGTCTATTCCACATCTCTCACTGTGAAGAAACCTTTCCGTGTTTGGAGATTAAATTTCTTTTCCTCCAGATGTAAAAGCGTGCCCTCTTGTCCTCTGTGATGACCTCAGGGTGAATAGCTCTACACTCAATGTATGAACCACTGACGTATTTTATACATGTTGATCATATCCCCCCTTAATCTCCTGCTCCTCAAGAGAGAATAAATTCAGTTCCTTTAATCTTTCCTCTTAGCTGATCTCCTCCATGCCTCTTATCAGTTTGGTTGCCCTTCTCTTCACTTTCTCCAGTTCCCTTATGTTCTTTTTGTGAATTGGTGCCAAAAACTGAACTGCATATTCCAGATGAGGTATTATACAATACATCTTGTATTTCTGAGTGCTGATTGAACTACAACTACCAGAGAGCTGGCGATCGTGAAGTATGCTGGGAAAGCAGATATATTCTACAGCAAGAGACTGGCTCTCTTTTGGTGCAGGATTCAGAGCTTAACACAGGGGGACTCCCATTCCCCTTCAGAGACAAATTGCTGGCCTACTGCTGAGAGACTCTAGATTTAGCTGGTAGAAAACATATTTAGGCAAAAATGTATTTGACTAGTGATGGGACTTGTTAGAAGTAAATAATGTTGGGAATAATGACAACCAGCCTTTAGCGGTGTTTTGATCTGGACAAACTTTCAAGGGATACCAACAGAGGTTAAAAACTTAAAAAACGCGTTTTAAAAAACGATTAGAAAATTAATGGTACAGAAGAAACACAATGGGGTTAATTTACTCAAGGAGTAGAGCAGGTTTTGCAAAGTGAATTTTCATTTAACTTAGCAAAATAGATGTGGCCAAGTGTAAAATTTGTTTTGCAAAGATTATTATACAATTACCGAGCAAGGAAAATGTAAAGCAAACAGAAATTTTTGCTCACAAACTTATTGAATGGTTGAAATCATCAAAGATTCAGCTTAAATCACCAAGATAAGTGAAAAATTCACCTTGCAAAGTGAACATACTCTTGTCCTTCAGTAAATTAACCATAATGCCTGCTACAGGAACAATATAAAAGGTTTGCAATTATAGAAAGATCTCACAATCCTTCTACTGACCTCAGTTATCAAGATAACATGGCTGTTTCAAGCCGGTTTCGCAATTAGCTTTAGACCATTTTAGACTCCCAATGAAAACTACATTTAGTTTGATTATAATGCCTTCATGGGGAGGGGTTTAAAGAAAGACAAAGGTCAGTCTAAAATAATAAGCCAAAGAAAACTGGGCCAAAAGCCAAGCTATTGCCTTCAGCACTTACTTTACCATCACTTGACGCCGCTGCTGAAAGTCGTACACACCAAACCCATGACTCGTCCCAAAAGCCAACAGCCTCCACTCGGAATGCAGTGTTAAAGATGTGACAGCTGCTGGTGGCTGGCACTGTACCAGTGAGAAGGGCTGAAATCCAGGAGGAAAGCGCACTGCGTCTTCTCTTGCACGAAGGCGCTCATGCCCTTTCCAACGATAGCCTTCCTGTTCTTGTAACAAGTCCACTACTGTTTGATCCACCACTTGCAATGCAGCCTCATCATTTAGCTCCAGAACAAGAACCTGCAATGAGAGATGGTCCAACCCAGGAAGGAAATTATGACAAGTAAATCAGTAAGCAATCAAGATTTAAGCACAAAAGCAGCCATAACTTAAATACCCGTGTCAGGCTTTTATTGCTGTTTGGGTCCCTGTTGGGGAGGAGATCTCACTTCCAGTCTGGTCACCGTGGAAGGAAAATGAGGAGAAATCTCCCCAACATGAACACAGTAGTAAAAACTTGACAGATATTATAACCCCTCATCACTCAAAGCAAAAAATGTCTATCCTGGAACAGAGGAACAGAAATGAACAGATTTACTTTAATGGAACAATAAAATCAATACTTATGGCAGGTTTGGGGCAGAAAGACATTGGTGCTGTCTATCACTAGCAGCTGATACAAGCATCTAAGGACCTTTGAGAGATGCAACTTTGTGTCTAATGGTTTAGCTTTAGTTGGACGTTAAAGATCTCTATAAAAAAAAGCTGAAAGTGAAAAGATCTCCCCACAAACTGATTTTTTTTTTTTTTTAAGATTACACAACATATTTGCTATTGCAATGATATGATCTAAAGTAGCAGCACAGCAAGTTCTGGATAAACTTTTACTAACTGACCTGTCCAGCAGTTCCAGCAACTGATAAGTAGCCACTGAATTTACACATGTAAATTTTCTGAATTCCAAGACGAGGATCATCACTGTATGGGTCAAAACAGCCAACCTGTGAAGGACCAAAAAGAGAATATACATGCGCAGAGAGAATTGGGAGATTATCTAATAAGTCAAAGCATAGGAGAAATAAATGAACTATGAAATACAGAACAGGAAATTAAAATGCTAGGCACTTACTTTCCTAAGTGGGGGCCATTCATCCTCCCCATGGGAATTCAGGTTGTCGTTGGGGTCAGAGTCAGTCTGAAAAAACTCCCACTGTACTCATCTTGTACAGTAGTTGGAGGCAAACGCCGGAGGCATCCCAGAAACGTACAGTACCATCTTCATGCCTGAGCAAAGCAATTATGGCGAATTGATCATGAAAAACACATGTTAAATGAAAAAAAAAAAACAAAAAAAAAAAAAACTGCTTTTAAAATGTTCTACTTGGAAAGCAAACAAAATGCTGCCAATTACCAAAGAGACCCTTTTACAAATATAAAAGCACAAGAAAAAAGTTTTAGCTTTACGCATTCTATGCATGAAGGTAAACCCCTGTGTGCTGCTCCCCTCACCCATACTTACCCAAGCCAGCACGGTGCACGGGAGTCTCAGCTCTCCCAGGTCTCTCTCCCCTCATTGGCTGCCATTGGCTCCCACTACTGTCAATCACAGCCAGTGAGGAGCGAGAGGGAGGGAGCTGAGCTACACTGTGTATCCGATATGCACACACAGAGCTGTCTCAAGAGTGAGCACATATACGAGTGCCCCCATAGCAAGCAGCTTGTTCTGGGGGCACTCGGCAAGGGGGAAGGAGGCCAGAAGTATCAGCAGGGGACTCAAGAGGAAGATTGGGGCTGCTCTGTGCAAAACATTCCACAGAGCAGATAAGTATGATGTGTTGAGCCTTTATAACTACTTTAATCCGGCTTTAATTAGGTTGCTTTCACACTGAATTGTTCTTCCATTTTTGCGTAACAAAAGCAGAAGAAAAATGCATAACCATTAAATCCTATGGAAATCTTCACACTGGTCAGTTGTGGGTCCGATGCATTTTTTAAAGTCCTGCAAGCTGCATTTTTGGTGCATGTCTGGTGTGGTACCACAATAAAAAAAATTTAAAAAAAAAACCCACACAAGCGTCCCAAGAGCAAGCGGCTTGCTCTGGGGGCACTCAGCATGGGGGAGGGGTCTGGAAAAAAAAAAAAAAAAAAGTACATACTTATTGTATATGGTCTTCTTTCAGCAGTGCATCCAGTATGGAGCAGTTTGCACTTTGCTACCTCTGGCAATCCAGTAATAGTTAGGAAGGCACAAGGCAAGAACAAGGAGGGATGGACTGTGTCTGGCTAGCTACTTTGTTAATGGCCTGCCTAAGTACTCACTTGCTTTCACTTAATAGGCACAGGGTGCTCTTGACTTCAATGTAGTTTTCAGTTTAATCAGTAATCAAGTGCTGTTGCACAAAATGAATCTGAACTTTCTGTGGTATACAATAAATTTACAAGGAAGTGACAATTGTGGGGGGGGGGGGGGGGAGAAAGTGTCACAAGGATGTATTGTTTGGTCTTAAAATAATGTGTCTGGGGCGCACATGCACGGAGGCTGAAGATCCTCCATACATGCATCTGAGCATTGGCATAAGACTCAGCGTCATCTGAGGATCCCAAATGGGCAAAATAGAGCGTCAAAAACACCCTCCTTCACTCGCCAAACATCAGCGGCCTACACAAATGGAGAAATTCATCTCCCGCGCCGCATCCCCAACCCCGAGTGATTACTCTCACCCAGCGGCAGAACCGGATGAGAGACGAAGGGGCACACGGCGGAGGTAACACACCATGATGCACATCATCCCATATCTCACTGCTGATATCACAGATAAGTTACACTCCCTACTGCAGAATATATCTCATACTATGTCTGCAGCAGTGGGGAAAATAGCACAAGAACACAGGGGGGGAGATGGCATTGGTGGAGGAACAAACGCACCATCTAGAAACCAAATTTGATGACCAAGTACAAAATGTGTACGTGCTAGAAGAAGAAAACCATACTCTAAAACAACAGGTCTCCCAGCTGCAATCACAGCAAGATGATTTGAAAAATAGGGAGAGGAGACAAAATCTCCACATACGAGGAGTCACTGAATCAAAATGAGATGCTGACCTGCAAGATTATTTGCGAGGCCTATTCACCACTCTGGCTCCTGCAGTCTTGGATATAGATTGGCATATGGATAGAACTCACCACTCCCTTGCCCCAAAACCACCATTGGGAGCGAGACCAAGGGTCATTATTGTGCGGTTTCATTACTATGACAGTAAGGAGTCTCAACTGAACTTAATTAACAAATTTACAGTGATATGTCTCCTAATACGCTATCTAAGAGACACTTTCTTCATCAGATTACTCTTCATCTTCAAAAACATTGCACCATGTACAGATGGGGGCTCCCTTTCAAACTGACAGTAACTAGAGATGGGACTCTAGCATGTCATCAGAGATTTTCAAGAAGGAGAGGCGTTCCTGCGGAATCTGGGTTTACCTCCTGTCCCAGATGAAGCCTTAACGCTACCCATATCTAAGCTTAGATCTGCCAATACTCCTAGCAAGATCTGGACCCCAGCAAAATCTAGAAACAAAAACACGCCTACCAATTCCTCAACGCTCTCCTACTTCGCGGATGTCATCTGCGACCTAAAACCATCCGTTTTTCTATCGGTTGGTAATCACTAATGTATGCAGACATATATGCCCTCATCATGAGGTGGCCATTCGTCCCTGGGCGCAAAATTTCCTAGCTACGCCTCTGGGGTGACAATACTAGACGCACGGTGAATTTAATCCACATACCTAATGCCTCACGCTCTCCTGCTTTGCTGTTGATTCTGGATGCTCAAAAAACCTTAGACAGGCTGGGATGCCCCTATTATGTTTGAGTTATTACAACATATAGGCGTACAATGCTAATTTTTTAAAGCTGTTACAGCACTATATTAGTCACCCACTGCACAAGTCAAACTTCCTTATGCCATGTCAGACACCTTCCCCCAATGTTCAACGGTACTAGACAGGGCTGCCCTTTGTCTCCACTTCTATTTGTGTTATGCCTCGAGCCTTTAGCTATGGCAATTAGAGCGCACCCAGATATAGCGGGAGTGACTTAGACAGAAGGAATATAAACTATCACGATATGCTGATGATGTCTTATTAACAATCACTAAACCTCCCCTTTCTTTGCCTGTATTACATAAACTTTTACAATCCTTTAGTGATCTCTCTGGTTACAAAATAAACACTTCAAAAGACAAACTATGCCTCTCAACATCCCTTCCCAGGACCTCCAACTCTTAAAACAAAATTACTCATATCACTGGCGTTCCAACTCTATTAAATATCTGGGTACTCATATAACCTCAAACAATTCACTTTTATATATGAAGCTAACTTTCCTCCCTTGTTGAAGGAAATTTCTGCCCTCCTGAATCAGTGGGATAATTATAATATTTCCTTTCTAGGCAGGATAAACGTGTTCAAGATGATGATTCTACTAAAGCTGCTCTCTATCTTTGAGATGCACCCAGTCGCAGCTCCACAGTCTCATTTTTACGGACCCTACAGCATTAGTTCCTTAGATTCATTTGGCACACTAAAAAGCCCAGGATAGCAAACACGGTTCTTTTATCCCTGAAAATTAAGAGGTGGTTTGGGGGCTCCGGACACTATTAAATATTATTTGGCAACTCACTTAAGACAAACACTGTCCTGGTTTACCCAGATTCCCCATAACAGATGGTCAGAGATAGAATTAAACCATTTACATCCCATTCACACCTGCTCATTATTATGCCCCTTAAACTCCACCTTATCCCTAAGGTCCCTCCCTTAATTCTATGAAATTTACCCTTAAGGTATGGTCGATCTGTATAAAATCTCAGATGTTGTTGTCCACCTGCTCTCCTCTGATAAATATTTTATATAACCCATAAATCCCTAACAGTCTATCCTATCCTCAAATGAACTCATGGGCAATTATTGGGATATTCCAGCTTCATCATTTAATCAATCCAGCCACTCACAAGATCAGATCGCTTGAGGAGATCAGGATGTGGAAGTCCTCTATACCCTCATCAGCTCAGTATACCTACCTCCAATTTTGCCACTTTTTCCACACCATAAGTTCTTTAACACTGGATCGCCCTACTGACTTTGAAAGAATAGCTATTCGAGGTCCCTCCCAGCTGCACCTTATATCTTCACTGTATAGATTACTTCTCAATAACGAATCTTTAGGGGATCGTCCCCCATCGTTATATGAGTAACTCGGAGGGGGCCCTTCAATGTCCAATTCCTTTAAAATGTTGGCAGATGATTTGGGAGTCAGCTACTAAAACTTCTCGATGTGTCACCTATAGAGAGAACCTATATAAAATATTGATCCATTTTTATAAAACCCCTGTTGTCTTACATGCTATTAACCCGACTCTGTCTGAGAGATGTTGGAAATGTCAGAGTGGAACGGGTCCTGTGGAACGGGTCCTTTGGTACATATCTTTTGGTTATGCCCTCAGATCCAGAGCTTCTGGGCCACGGTCAAAAATGTCTTGGAACAGGGTTTTAAATGTAGCTCTCCCATTAGGTCCACTTCATTACCTTTTAGGTTTCCCATTTAAGGGAATTCCTAAACACTCTAAAAAGCTAGGGGTTCATATACTGACTGCCGCCAGACAATTGATACCTAGATTTTGGAAGTCAGTGGATGTCCCTACGCTAAGCCACTTACTGCAAATGATTTCTGAAATTAGACATATGAAATACCTTACAGCTATATCAGGTGACTACCCAGGCCATTTTAGGACCACTTGGGAAACATGGGATCATTCTCCATTTGGTAATACCACCTCATATACTCCTGACATTTCTTAAAAACGCTAAACTGTACTACACATTCCGTTTGCAGGTCTGTGTTATCCTATGTTGTTAATATACACAGTTTTATCATGCGGTCTGTTAACTCTCTATTGTTTATGTTGTCTATGTCACATGCAATGTCCACATCCATGTTGTTGTCGTATATTTGTATTGTTAAAATTAGCATCAGCCATTATTAAAAATTTACAATAATTAAAAAAAAAAAAAAACTGTTCAAAAGTGAAATGAGAAAGGAAGAAACCAAAAACACCCTTTTACACAATTCTTCATTGCCTTTGGCTCTTCATTAAAGGTTATGTACACTTACTATAATGTGGATACCTACCCTGTTAGCAGCAAATCCCTTTGAGGTGGAGCTGGGGCTAAATCCACGCCTCCATCAATTGGCCAAGGCTGTAGTGAAAGCATATTGTTAATTTCCTAGTTCCTGTAACTTAAATGCAAATTAAATAAATTTACAGCATTACCTTAAAACAGTTATTTATGTTATTAATTGTAAATTAAAAAGAATCTACAAGTGGTTGAAAGATTTCCTGTTCCTATAGTCCGTAAAAATTATGCCCCCTTCTGTGTCAGGCCACATGACCCAAACAAAGAGAAATGGAGAAAAGATATTTATCTGCAGCACATCCTGAACCAGCAAGCACCTTCTGAGTTTGAGGACTCAAAATACCAAAACCAAAAACACCCAGGCAAACAGTAACTTTTTGAAGGAGCAAAAGCAGCATCTTGTTTTTGACAGATTTTATTTAAAACTACAAGTAATTGAGGATAAAGTATGCTAAAACTCAGCACAACCACTGACTCCATAAACAATTTATGATAGAGTCTCCTGTTAAACTGTAAGAACGGGCCTTTAATATAAAACAATATACTTGGTTACCAAATAGAGTGTACATGTCTTCATACAGAAAGGTGTAAAAATCCAAGTAGAATGATCTTTACCATGCTAGAGTAATGAGTGTTCTGTTTCCTGCCTGCACCGATTATCCTCTCCCATAGTTTCAGTGGAATAGAAGAGATGTGATGGGAACAGGTGATTGCTGAACAGTGTAGTGACACAAGGTAAGGGCACTGTATTACTGGCCAGCCAGGTGTCTGTAGATCAATGGCCACCAGTTCCTCTTCCGCAAGTACCAGAATGGCACGAGGATCATCATATTCTAGAATAAAAATAAGTTATTAAAACCAATGGGTACCATGGTTATTTTGTCATAACACTTCTTTACTTCTGCCTGGTATATAAAAAAAAAAAAAAAAAAAAAAAACACTCAACAATGGGGACTGAGGACTATGAGAGTAGCTTCCTGGGAGCCGATTGTCTATGAATGTTACTATCAGCTATCAGGACATTCCTGCTTTGTACTGTCAAAAAGGTAAAAGGGAAGATCAGATATCAGTATAGCTTCAATTTCAACAGACACAAGATAAGACCTAGTCTGTAATAGCATGTCACACTGAGGGACTGAATATTACAGTCAAATAGAACATTTAGAAACTACTGTTTACAGCCGAGGATAAATATTGCTGCATCTAGTAGTACAAACAGTAAAATAATGTGAAAGCCAAAAATTATAAATGCTCTTTCTTTTCTGTAGCAAACACATGCATGCAAGTTTGGCACCAAAGTAATGAAGCTTCCATCCGATTCCTTTGTCCTAAAAGAAGGAAACCAGAACACCCCCAACTGCTATTTCACAATATTGTCCAGTCACCTTTTATTTATAGCATATAGCTTGTAAATTCAGCTGTCCACACAGACACATTGAGTACAAGCTTAACATTTGGACATAACCCATATACCAACGGCTATATAATTTGTACTGTGTTGATAAAGCATCAGGGGAGATGGGAGCACTGCATATGAGAACCACTTCAAAATGTTGCCTAAACTAGTGGTAGATTACTAGCTATCACCCCACAGTAAACTGTCTTACAAGTGGATTCTACCTGAAATGACTTAACCTTCCATGGTGGAATAACTTTGTTGAAGCTTTCTGCCTCGCCATTAAAGAATCGCTGAGTCTGAACTTCCACACATTGAACCCACTACGGGCTCTCCTATCCATGAAACTGCAGTTCAATCTTTCTAAAATGTAAAATAATGCACCTAGGGCAAAAAATTCCTTGAGAGAGTACAGCATTGGTAGTAGAGTGTTGGCCAGCACTCCAGAGGAAAAAGATTTGGGGGGGAATTTTTTCAGATGATTGCAAAATGAGCAAACCATGTGACCAGGCAGTGGGAAAAGTGAATAGAATTCTAATATGCTTTAACCACTTGACCTCCAGAGGATTTACCCCCCTTAGGCTACGTTCACACTAGCCTTGTGTGCAGGGGGCAGAGAGGCGTTTGGGAAGCGTTTTTACCGCTTCCCAAACGCCTCTGCCAACTCTGCACATTACAGCACATGGTGCTGTTCTAACAGGAGCGTTTGCGTCGCGTCGCGTTGCGTCAAAACGTACGCCTCTGGTCGAGTCAGGAGGCTTTGAAGCCTCCTATTCTCGTCTATGGTGCCGCTCCGCAAACGCCCGGCCGGCGTTTGCGGTGCGGTTTGCGGGGCGTTTGCGGAGCGGTAACACCACTCAAATGCATTATAGGCGTTTGTGGGGCGTTATTAACGCTCGGCAAACGCCTAGCAACCGCCGCTAAACTGCGCATGCGGCGTTTGCGGAGCGTTTGCCGAGCGTTAAAAACGCTCCGCAAACACCGGACTAACGCTTGCCAAACGCTATAGGGGCGTTTGGCAAGCGTTGGCAAAACAGCCTAGTGTGAACGAGCCCTTAATGACCAGGCCTCTTTTTGCTACTCGGCGCTGCACTAATTCAACTGATAATTGTGCGCTCATGCAATGCTGCACCCAAACAAAATTTACGTCCTTTTTTTCACACAAATAGAGCTTTCTTTCGGTGGTATTTTGATCACCTGTGCGCTTTTTCATTTTTCACGCTGTAAACAAAAAAAGGCCAAACAATTTGAAGAAAAACGATATTTTTTACTTTCAGCTATAAAAAAATATATAGTAAACTCAAAGTTGGTTATAAATTTAGGCCAAAATGTATTCTGCTACATGTTTTTGGTAAAAAAATCCCAATAAGTGTATAATGATTGCTTTGTGTGAAAGTTATAGCGTCTACAAACTATGGTATAGATACTGCAATTTACGCCATTTTTTGCTATACAGCGCTGCGCTAGTTTAACGGACAATTGCGCGGTCATGCAAACGGTACATAAATGAAATTTACATCCTTTTTTTTCCCCACAAATTGAGCTTTCTTTCGATGGTATTTGATCGCCTGTGCGGTTTTTATTTTTTGCGCTATAAAAAAAAAAAAGGCTAACAATTTTGAGGAAAAAAAAAAAATATATATTTTGGACTTTTTGCTATAAAATATGTCCAGTAAAAAAAAAAAAAAAATTTAAAAATCAAATTTAGTCATAAATTTCTGCCAAAATGCATTCTGCGACATGTCTTTACAAAAAAAAAAAAAAAAAAAACAATATGTGTAAATTAACGGTTTACGTGAAAGTTATAGCGTTTACAAATGGCGGGAAAGATACTGGGATTTTTAGGGTTTTTTTTAATAATGGCGGCGATCAGCGACTTATGGCGGCGATCAGCGACTTATGGCGGGACTGCGGCGGACATTCTGACATTGGGGGTTCTGACTTGGGGTCACTGACATCTCCAGTGACACCAATACAGTGATCAGTGCAAAAAAAAAAACAAACACTGACACTGTACTAATGGCACTGGGGAGGAAGGGGTTAAGTTTATTATTCAGGGAAAGGGTTAACTGTGTGAGGGGAGTGTTTTACTAGGGGGCGGGGGTGTGTACTGCAGGGAACACCGCTGATCGGGAGAAAGAAACTCTTCTGTCCTGATCAGCGTGTCCTGGAGCTGTCAGGGAACTGACAGAAAGCACAGCTACTGCAGCTGTGCTCTCTGTCAGCGATTGCCACCGATCACCGGGACATAGCCGGTAACGACCGGCTGTGACCCAGCGACTGACATCCGCAGCGGTGATCAGCGGGACAGGTAGGGCGGTGGCGCGCCTCGCACGCGCCCCCTACGCGTTTTAAAGACACGTTTTAAAACATGCTTTTGCCCAGCCGTGCCGCCCTGCCGCCGTATTTCTACAGTGGCTGGGCGGCATGTGGTTAATAGAGGGATCAACAGCAGGAGGAAGGATTCCCCTATATAGATCTTTACTGAGATCTCATATAGAATACTGTGGCGACCTCACTTACAAAAAGGTATTGATAAGATAGAATGAGTTCAGAGACAGGTAACAAAAATGGTGAAAGGTCTGGTAGATGTACCATATCAAAAGCGACTTCAGGAACTTAATTTTTGCAGTCAAGAGGAAATAAAGGAAAGGGGCTCAAACGAGCAGGGCCCACCTGTTTCCTCTTGCACCAAATTGTATTGTAACTGTAATGTCTACCTTCATTTTGTAAAGTGCTGCGCAAACTGTTGGCGCTATATAAATCCTGTATAATAATAATAATTTAAAATACATCAAGGGGGTGAATAAGGTTCAGGTAGGCAGTATTCTAATATGAAACTAAAATCAAGAATACAGGGACATGACCTCAAACTAACTGGAGGAAAGTTCAAAACTAACCTTAGAAAGTATTATTTTACTGAAAGGGTAGTTCATGCTTGGAACAAACTTCCAGCAGATGTAATAAGCTAGTCAATAAATGGCTTTAAACATGCTTGGGACAAACATAGATCTATACTCAAAGTTAATGGAGAGAGAAAAAAAAAAAAAAGACAACAGCCTCTATACCCCATGCTTTGTCTCCTGCCTCCATGCACTGTAGCTCCCCATAGGTGTCTGTGCTTTCACTCAGCCAGTGGGGTTGATTTACTAAAACTGGAGAGTGCAAAAACTGGTGCAGCTCTGCATATAAACCAATCAGATTCCATTTTTCTTGGTCAAAGCTTATTAGAAACGGATTGGCTACCATGCACAGTTGCAACAGATTTTGCACTCTCCAGTTTTAGTAAATCAACCCCAGTGTGTCCATTCACTCAGCATTAGTAGTTTTGTACTTTGACAAAAAGTCAATTGGCATTCCCTTCAAAAACACGCCTGTGTCTCTATTTGGAACACAATCCTTAGTTTAAGAAACGCAGCCTGACATGTCAAAGAATACATCATATCAGACAATCTGGCACTAAGCTATACAACCAAGGCAGTATTAGTATTACTAATTAAAACAAGAGCAGCAAGAGGACAAGCTTACAGCATAAAAAAATAACCAATTTCAGGTCATATAACTGTAGGAGAATTAACCATTTCCCCGCCATGTCAATCCCAGCATGACACTTCTACAAATCAGTTTACTCACCAGCTGAATGGTCAGGATTGGCAATTACCAAATGGTCAATGATCCTAGAAGTGAAGTCAAATGCTACTTGCTGACTGCCATGAACAACTGAGATGCTATGTCGGTCGCCATAGCTTGCCATCGGCATACCTCCTTGGAACACAATATATGGTGACCTAAGCAAACAAAATATACATACATGGGTCATTACGTAGACAGAACTATCCCCCTTCTATCCAAAGGATATGCACACAAGAACTTTTAGATTTGAGGCTTACCCCCTACGTGCTGATAGCCACAATATTTTACCGATTGCCTTGCAGCGAAAGGGGCCTGTGAAAAAAAAAAAAATATACAGACTAAATTAAATCTACATTTCATTTAATGAAATTACAATCCTTAAAGTTGTGATCAAGTATTTACCATATGGCACTTTACTCTCCATAGGAGACTGTTGGACACGTTCCCCAGTTGTATCCCACTGGCTGTATCCTCCATCATTATGACAGCTTATTATTTGCTGTGCATCCCGACACCAGAACACATTTTCCAGTTGCTGAGAGAAAACATGAAAAAAACTGTATAAAAACCAGTTCAACAAATTGCAATCTAAAGATCGCAACAAGTAATAATATGGTACCCGTGAAAGGGTTTTGAAAGTACATGCCACTAAATCTCACTTAAATCACAAAATTCCAGCCAAAGCTTTACAAACATGTTCAGGTTTTTATTGCAGTCTGTGACCAGAATGGCTAATTTCCCTCACTTTGTCAGGCCAGGAAGTAATGGCAAACCTCTCCAATGTGGAGACAGACTGCAACAAATATAGGATTTCTTGCATTTACTGCAAAAATCTTTTCTATCAGTTCATAGAATGACTTGGTTCTCTTAATCCTGACAGTTGTGTCATACTGCCACCTGCTTGAGCAGATCACTACAGTACGTAAAAAACAAAAGTTCAGTATATAGAGGTGGCCTCTGCTGGTGGCCAAGCTCCCTCACTTCTGATGAGCTCAGTTAGTGAACAACCTGTAAAAGGAGAAGAAAAAAAACAAAATCCAAAAACATAAAAGGCCACAGCCAGACTAGAGAAGCAGGTTGTCTCGGAGAAAAAGGTTTTACAGAGAGTACGAAAAATTGTATATTACCGAGAGCATGATTATGAAGGAGTACTGGGATCCCTTTTCCTTCAATGGACTCCAAGAAAAGGAGTTTATGTCAAGTACAAAAATCCTTATTTATTTATTTCTTGCTCATTGAGGCTCAACGCAAATGCTAACAGGTCCAAAAAAAAAAAAAAAACCCCACAACGGACTACCTGCAGTTTAAAAAGCAGCCCAAAGGGCCTTATTCCCAGAGCTGGTATTGAATAAAGCTGAAACATGTACCTGGTAGAACTTCAAAAATGTGTTAACAGAAGGCTTGGTGGCATTACAAAATATGCCTGATGCCAGAAAAGCCCAGGAAGCACTCACAGATCTAGTAGCATTCGCCTTAATTAGAAAGGGTGGCATCCAATCCCTAAAGTTGAAGTTTAGTAAACACCTATTCTCAGCCACATTCTAAGCCTCATCTATCTAACCCTGTAAAGAAAAGATTACTATGCTTACCTATTCTGAAGCCACTCTGATATTTAATACACTGACCTTTTCCTCTTCCCGTTTCTGCTGGCATCACTCTCCTGGCTGCTAGGTGAAGTGCACGGGGTATCACTCTGCCTGGAAGCCAGGACTACAGAGCAAACATCAGCATATGCTTCCTTCACTGCAGGCTCTGGCTCTATGTACCTTGATGCTCTGGGAAGGCGGGTTGGCAACCCCTTGATAGTTATTTGGGCTTGTGCTCCCAGACCATAGGCATTTGATTCCCTTGGTTTGGGAGTCGAGGGCCAGCTGTGAACCATGCTCCACAAAAAAAAAAAGAAGCTCTCTGAAGACATTACTGAGTTGATCTGCATAAGGCTGGAAAGGGATACAAAGCAATCTCAAAATGTTTAGGCATCCATCAGTCGACAGTTGCACAAAGTGTCTATAAAGGGAGACAGTTTAGTACTATTGCTACTCTTCCTAGAAGTGGGCACTCAGCCAAAATGACTCCCAAGGCACAACACAGAATCCTCAATGATTGAAAGAACCACCCATGAGTAACAGCTAAAGGCTTGAAGACCTCACGGAAACAGGCAAACATCCCTGTTCATGAGTCTACCATACGCAAGTCTTTGAAGAGGCAGGGTCACCACGGAGGAGGCCTCTGCTTCCCTGTCCTTTGCGCCTGAACTTTGCAAAACAGTACCTTGGCAAACCGTATTACTACTGGGAAAAAATTTTGTGGACTGATGAAAAAAATTCAATTGTGTCATGGAGCTTGCCCTTAGTGACATTCGGACCCTCCCTTATCCAGGTCACCCAGACTATTTCTATCACTAATAGACTTTTTGGACTTGGTCCAGTATTTGCGCTGATTATCATTTCCTTTTGTTGCCTCAGGGCCTGGACCACTTGCTATGGTCGAGGGGGGGGGAAAGGAGTTCCCAAATTTATCAAAATATTCTATAGGACAACTGAAATTGGGTGATGCAGCAGGACAATGACCCTGATCATCGAAGTAAATCCACCACAGACTGGCTTCAGAAAAATAAAAAAAATGTGCCTTTTGGAGTGGGCATGTTCAATAAAGACACGTGAAGTTAGAATTGTTTGTGTGTAATCCGCTTAAAGCGTTACTAAACCCAGGACCCTGCATTCACTATATCTGGTCTCCCACAGTACACACAACATGGAAGTGCAATTATGTTCGTAAATATAATCTGCCAAATACCTTCTCTCATCAGCAGTTAGAGCAGTCTTGTAACTTCAGCAGAGCACTGTTAAAGTTTGTAAAAGGCGTTTTCTTTCTGCTATAAGAGGATGCAAAAAACCCCTGACCCTCTGTCTGGACAGCGCTGATCACATGTACTCTCCCCAAAAAAAAAAAAAAAAAAAAAAAAAAAAAAAACTCTCTAGCAATACACACCAAACTGAGCATGTGTATGTGGCGACGGGTTCAGACTGTCTCATCAGGAGATAAGGAGTGGATATTTGAACAAGAGGAGGGACAGCGAAAAAGAGGGTCAAACTGCCTTTTTTACACAATGCAGAAGATTAACCCCTTAGGATCCACAGTGTGCATAAAAAGGATGCTTTTACTGAATTTACAGACTGATTTTACTGTTGTGGGTTTAGTAACACTTTAAAGAAGAACAGATATGAAAAAAAAAAAATCACCCATTAGTACACCCCCCTACACAATACACTAAACAGTTCGTACATTTGTGAAATTCTATACCATTGAAAAGTATTATTGAATTTTCAGGAAGGCATCTCTGTAATTCAAAAGATAACAGCATCTGCTCTGCTATGGAGGAGGTGTAACAGCAGGGATTACATTATATCATCCCATTTCAGGAAACTACACTTTCCATCCACCTCTGGGAATTGCATTTCATGTGGGCAGATACACTAGGCCTGTACATGTGTATTCTCTCAGTTTAACAAATCACACCTCCCTCATTCTCCAGCCACATTTCTCAGCAACACAGAGCAAGACAGGTGTAAAGCATGCATGTGCAAAATGTTTAGTTCATTATATGCAGTCTACTCGAAATTAAATATTGAATTCTCACTACTCCAGGTTTTCTGATACTGGCTGTGGCTGCTATCCTCACGTGATCTCTCCCCTTCCAGCCACAACAGCAGATAAATTGCCCTTACACACTTTATTTAATTACCGAACTGTAGACACATGCCCATTAATAATATATCCACTGTATTCTGCTTTAATTCAGTATTAGAAAGATCTCAAAGCTGCAGGAGTAGGAATATTTATAACAGCATTCAGTGCTTGTATGATATATGAGTACACCTCACCGCAACACAAGGAGCGAGCAGGAACATGTTGCTTTACATCAGCACGTGGCACAAGTTTAAAAAAAATAAATAAAATCGGCATGTTAAAATAATTAAGTTCAATATTACAATACTGGATCTCTGTGATATGTAGCTTTATATAGAATACACATATACAAAAAATTTAAAAGAAATGAATGTCTAACAAATTATACACGGATTTGCATGTTCATGAGGGAAATAAGTATTTGATCCCCTATCATTCAAGCAGGATTTCTGGCTACCAGGTGTCTTTCATACAGGTAACAAGCTGAGATTAGAAGCAGTCTCTTACAGGGAGTGCTGCTAATCTCATTTTGTTACCTGTATAAAAGACACCTGTCCACAGGAGCAATCGAACAATCAGATTCCAAACTCTCCACCATGGCAAAGACCAAAGAGCTGTCCAAGGAAGTCAGGGACAAGATTGTAGACCTACACAAGGCTGGACTGGGCTACAAAACTATCGCCAAGCAGCTTGGTGAGGAGGACAACAGTTGGCGCAATCATTCGCAAATGGAACACAAAACAACTGTCAGTCTCCCTAGGTCTAGTGCACCATGCAAGATCTCACCTTGTGGAGTGTCACTGATCATGAGAACAGTGAGGAATCACCCCAGAACTACATGTGAGGATCTTGTCAATGATCTCCAGGCAGCTGGAACCACAGTCACCAAGAAAACAATTGGTAACACACTACACCGACAAGGATTGAAATCCTGCAGTGCCCACAAGGTCCCTCTGCTCAAGAAAGCACATGTCCAGGCCCGTCTGAAGTTTGCCCCTGAACATCTGAATGATGCAGTGGAGGACTGGTTGAAAGTGTTGTGGTCAGATGAGACCAAAATCGAGCTCTTTGGCATCAACTCAACTCGCCGTGTTTGGAGGAGGAGGAATGCTGCCTATGACCCCAAGAACACCATCCCAACTGTCAAACATGGTGGTGGAAACATTCTGCTTTGGGGGTGTTTTTCTGCTAAGGGGACAGGACAACTGCACCGCATCAAATGGACAATGAACGGGGCAATGTACCATCAAATCTTGGGTGAGAACCTACTTCTCTCAGCCAGGGCATTGAAAATGGGTCATGTATGGGTGTTCCAGCATGACAATGACTCAAAACACACGGCCAAGGCCACAAAGGAGTGGCTCAAGAAGAAGCACATTAAGGTCTTGGAGTGGCCTAGCCAGTTCGAGTTGCCAAACGTCAGCCACCAAACCTTAATGACTTGGAGAGGATCTGCCAAGAGGAGTGGGCCAAAATCCCTCCTGAGATGTGTGCAAACCTGGTGGCCAACTACAGGAAACGTCTAACCTCTGATTGCCAACAAGGGATTTGCCACCAAGTAGGGGTTTCCATCATCCCTACTAAGTTTTATTTTAGGTCTTATTTTAAGTAGTAGGGCAGCGGAGGGTTTCGGGGCGTCAGTAGGGCAGCGGAGGGTTTCGGGGCGTCAGTAGGGCAGCGGATGGGTCACAGACTGACAGATTTAATCCCACAGCTGCCAGGGAGGGAGCCAATTTGGATCACAATTAAACCCTCATTAACCAGGCACCTTTACTATGTAACCAGCAGCCACTGCTTGAAGCTCGATTATTATTTTACATCTATCATTTCTCACAGTCATTGTGGGGAGTGGGAAGGTCCGTACGTTGCAGGTAGGAGTCAGGAATTGAGGATGAGGGGGTCTGTCAGTCTGAAGGGAGTGGGGGTCTACCTGTGCAAGGCAGGGGTATCATGGGGGATAGAATACCGTGGGCTGCATTTTAATCAGAGGAGATATAGAGGGGATTTAGAGAAGAGAGGTGGATGTAGGTAGGTATCGGGCAGCAGCGACAGGTGGCGGAAGGGGAATGACAAGCTGGTCTCTACTATAAAGGTGGATGACAAGGCTGAAAAGGGCATATGGTGCAAAAGGAGGGAGAAGGGGTGAATGGCTTCAGGAGTGAAATTAGTGGGAGACCACCTCTGTGAGCAGTACAGACCAGGAGTCTGGGTCTCAGCCTGCCCACTACAGCAAGCAGGGACAGAAGTACATCCCTACGTGCTGTATAGAACTACAGATAGGAAGTGCAAAGACCAGTGGCTGGGGGAATAGGAGGAATAATAGCCACCAGTCTTACAAAAACAGGAAACCCCTGGGAATTAACAGTTTTATTTGAAAACCATCAGGCTTTTTTGGAGCAAGAACTAAGTTACCAAGAAGATAGATGACATATTCAGTGGAAGTAGGATATCAGCAACAAGGACATGTAAAAAAAATTTTTGCCCAGAGTTCTGCTTTGAGCACATTGTGTTTGTCTATTGTTGTGACTTACATGAGGATCAGATACATTTTATGAGAAATTGCTACAGTAAACTAGTTCATTACAAGGGGTTCACATACTTTGTCACCACTGTAAATGAACAGAGCTTCCCTTTGTAGTTTCACGCATTCCTTTACCTGTGTACCGAGGAACTGCCGCACACTGCATCCAGCTGAGGTATCCCATGCCATCATAAGGCCACGGCTGTAGCCAATCAGGAGCTGATCTGGATTCCTTGGGTGCTCCTGTAAGGCTTCCACTGACTCAAAGGGACGTCTGTTAGCATAATCTTTTGGAAGACTGAGACCAGGGGAGGATGAGAGTTAGGATGAGTTTCTCTAGACAACATAATAAATCATGGTCAGAATCAGGAGAACTTACCCTTGCAATGCCACATCGTGCGCAACTGTCTTTTCTTCTACTACTTGCAAGTTTGGTAAAGAGATGGTGAAAACACTGCCTCCCTCTGTACCCACATATATAGTCTTTCCCCAGAGGAGTGTGCTAGCAGCACCTTAATTTGTGTTACACTGGGAGGTGCACTGCGAAAAATACATACAAGTCATCATTTTAGGAAAGTTTCAGAGTGCAACACAAATAAAGTTGTTTTTCCACAAGGATAAGCAGCCTGTAAAATGCACATATATACAGTCTACAAATTTACAAAATAGATTTAAAAATAATACCGTACAGGCTTTCAAAAGTAGCACACTAAAAGGGAAAGATTTATTAAAACTGGCTCCCAGAGCCTGATGCAACTGTGCATATTAGCCAATTGGTTTCTAACATCAGCTTGTTCGGTTAAGCTTTGGTTTTAAAACCTTGAAGCTGATTTCTGTGCAGAGCTGCACCAGATTTTGCACGCTCCAGTTTTAGTAAATATGTAGAATCATTATACAGTAGTTATATTGTGGCTAGGAAGAGGTTTTACCACCCACCCTGGAGGTCCACGAAGGGTAAACTTCTTTTCCTCATGCAGCTCAGAGACTCCATCATGCTGCTTGAAGGACCATAAGTGGAGGCTGTTGTCATCCAGTAAGGTGACAATTTGGCACTAGAGCATTGTGAAAAAGTCAGGTCAGCTATTACAAATCCCAAACACAAATACAAGAAATCACAACATTGCAAACAGCACTGTTATAATATGTACACTGCAGCAGTTATACAGTTTACACTGTAGCCAATTGCTTACGAAGAATAGTGTGCAACTACATTATAGGATCAAAAGTTTGTGGACACCTGATAATGTCACATACTAAATGGAAAAAATTACTGTATGTGACACCTTCTCTTAATTACTGAGTCCAATGAAGATTCTTGTTTAATATTTCTTGGTATGCTGTAACATTAACAACTGTGTGCTTCAAACCTTGTGATGACAGTTTTAGAACCTGTGCCCAAAAGTCAGGTCCAAAATGATATGGATTGATTAGCTTGGTGTGGAGGAACCAGAGTTGCCTTCACAGAGCCTTGACCTCAACACCATATTAAAAATCTTTGGGATTTACTCAAATGCTTATTGCGTGCCAGACCTTTTTGTTCAATCTCAGTACTAGACCTCACAAACGCACCTTTTACTAAATGGGCCAAACTCCCACAGACACACCTTTCCAGTGAAACATGTTATAGCCCCAAAATGTTGTTCAGTTGTGTATTCGTGATGGGCCGAACACCCCGTTTGGTTCGCAGTTAAACAATTCGAACAGTTGAACGAACATTCAATTGTGAACTTCGAGCCCAATACAAGTCTATGGGACTCGAATTTGTAAATTCAAAAGTGCCCATTCTGAAGGCTTATATGCAAGTTATTGGCCATAAAAGGGGTATGGGGACTTGGGTACTGCCCTGAAGGACATGAATCAGTGAAAAAAAATATATTTTCAAAAAAGTACCACTTATGGTAAATTCAGTTGATTGAACATGATTAGGAAAGGCATAAACCTGTATATATAAAGGTCTCACAGTTAACAGTGCATGTCAGAGGGACATTGCAAGCCACAAAGTCCAAGGAATTGTCTGTAGATCTCCGAGACAGGATTGTATGAAGGCACAGATCTGGGGAAGGGTGCAGAAAAATTTCTGCAGCACTGAAAGTCCCAATGAGCACAGTGGCCTCCAGCATCCGTAAATGGAAGAAGTTTTGAACCACCAGGAATCTTCTTAGAGCAGGCCGCCCAGCCAAAATGAGCGATGGAGGGAGAAGGGCCTTAGCCAGGGAGGTAACCAAGCACCCGATGGTCACTCTGAAAGAGTTCCAGCGTTTCTCTCTGGAGAGAGGAGAACCTTCCAGAAGAACAACCATCTCTACAGTACTCCACCAATCAGGCCTGACAGAAGCCACTACTCTGTAAAAATGCAAATGGCAGCCCACCTGGAGTTTGCCAAAAGCTACCTGAGGGTCTCTCAGACCATGAGAAACAAAACTCTCTGATTTTATGAAAGATTGAACTCTTTGGCCTGAAAGCCAAGCGTCATATCTGGAGGAAACCAGGCACCGCTCATCACCTGGCCAATACCATCCCTACAGTGAAGCATGGTGGTGGCAGCATCATGCTGTGGGGATGTTTTTCAGCGGCAGGAACTGGGAGACTAGTCAGGATTGAAGGAAAGATGAATGCAGCAATGTACAGAGACTTCCTTGATGAAAACCTGTTCCAGAGCGCTCTGGACCTTAGACTGAGGCAACAGTTCATCTTTCAAACAGGACAACAACCCTAAGCACACAGCCCACATAACAAAGGAGTGGCTACAGGCCAACTCTGTGAATGTCCTGGAATGTCCAGCCAGAGCCCAGACTCTGAAAAGATCTGAAAATGGATGTGCACCGACGCTCCCCATTCATCCTGATGGAGCTTGAGAGGTACTGCAAAGATTGGGAGAAATTGCCCAAAAAAAAAGGTGTGCCAAGCTTGTAGCATCATACTCAAAACAACTTTAGGCTGTAATTGGTGCTAAAGGTGCTTCAAAGTATTGAGCAAAGGCTGTGAATACTTATGTACATGTTTTTTTTTTATTTATTTTTAATAAAATTGCAAAGATTTCAAAAAAAAATTTCTTTCATGTTGTCATTATGGGGTATTGTTTGTAGAATGTTTAGGGAAAAAATAAATTTAATCCATTTTGGAATAAGGCTGTAACAAAGTGTCAAAAGTTAAACGTTGTGAACACTTTCTGGATGCACTGTATATCATCACATTCATGTAAATGGACTCATCCCATTCGTCAGAGGGCAGATCTAATATATGGGGGGTGTGCACTAAAACACTGGACATGCCTTTCCTCAGCATACTTACTATCAGGGTTAGCCTGCAATGAAATATATATTGCCAACTATAATTCTGGTAGATATTTAAAGAGCCAACTAATGCATAAAAGATTACCCAATGGTTTCATGAGTTGACACCCATATGAAGAAGAAAAAAAAAAAAAAAAAAAACCACAACAAAATGTCAACTAAAATTATATCATAATAATGATGGTGATAATAAATAGTAATAAAAGGATGCATGTATAACCGTATCTATCTGTGCATAATGTATGTATATGTCAATTTGTATGAAGGATAGGAAGACAATAATAGAATATTGAATAAATAATGGATTGCTACGCTATCAATTTAATTATTCACAGATTACTCTCTGGGGCTTTTGAAGGCAAACTATTACTAGTAGTGCATATTAATTCCAAAAATCAACCCATTAATGTAACCAGACTGTGAACTTGGGAGTATCAATGTACAGAAGATGGAGTACCTAAACAATATAAAGCGGTTTTACTTAATTATGGTGTGAACACATACACTTGTACATATGCGTATCAAATCCATATTTGCATATGCCTGTTTAACAAGAGAACATAAAGGAAAAAAATAAAAACAAAACAAATATGTAAAACGGGAAGGGACAGGAAATGATCAACAGTGGTGGAAACTAGCACACATTGGTATAAATGGCAAATATAAAAAGGGATAAATAGCATGGCTTATCAGTATTCCAGATCATGGAAGAATTCATATTTAAACTAGCGTATGTATCTCCAGATCCTCGTTTAGACCCTTAGGGGCGAGGCAGTCCAATGTGAAGATCCAATAGCTCTCTTTTCTGCAGAGCCTTTGGTATCTCCTTCCAAATGCTTTCATTCCTCAGTGGTCACCTTGGTGTGCATCTTTAAAGTGTCGTGGGACTGAGTAGTTGTCCTTACCACTATGGATGCTGCACCTATTCTCACCAATGTGAATCCTTAGTGGGCAAGAGGTGGGATCAACATATAGTAGGCCGCAGGGCAAAGAAGCCCATAGATGACATATGCTGTGCCGCAATTAAACTGTTTGTTGTAATGTTTCCGGCCATCGGTACCAGTTATCTTCTGTTTGCGGTGCCATATTAAGCAACATGTCCCACAATTTTTTACACCACATCTATAGCTACCTTTTTGGTAAAATATGGAGGACCACGTGTTGCGATTGCTACCTAGACTTCCTTTTGATTTCTGTAACCTGCTACGGGCAAATCATAGTTCTCAGTTCCCGGGGTTTCCTGAAAATAAAATTAGGCGTATCTGAAAGCAACCCCCCCAAGTGCTTGATCATTCTTCAGGATATCCCAGTTTTTGGAGAAAATTTGCTGCGTCGCCCAAGCCGTATTATGGAACCTCGTGCAAAACCGCACTTCTGGGTCTTTATATTGTCACGCTGTTTCAAGCAATGGGAGAGGTTGGAACTTAAGGAGTCTTTTTTTGTACAGCTGTAAACACTTGTTCAATATGATCATCATCATACCAGTTTTCTTTAAATTTACTTTTCAGAATCAAGCTTTGATGTATATAGTCTTGTTCTAAGGTGCATGTGAGTCTTAATCTGCAGAACTAGCCGAAATGAACATTTTTAATCCAATGTGGGTGATGATTACTCTTGGCGTGTAAATAAAAAAAAAAAAAAAAAGTTCCCCGCACTGGCTTTAAAAGGAGTCCTAGAGCAAATAGTGCCATCAGAATTATACGAGTGAAGGAATGTTAGTCTTCCCCCCCACCCCCACCCCATCCCAAAGCCTCTTGTCCCCATGTTGATGGGGACAAGGGACTCTTCCCCGCAACCCTGGGGCTGTGGTTGTGGGTGTCTGCAGGAGTTGGCTGGTCGGAATCTGGAAGCTCACTTCAACAAGGGGGCCCCAGATTCTCCCCCACCCCCCTTCATGAATGAGTATGGGGCACATAGTACACCTACCCATTTACCAAAAAAGTGTAGAATGTGAATAAAAACACTGAAGGAACGCCTGTCACCCCGACTGGGTGATTCGGTCAGTAAATAGCTTCCTCACCACTGGGACAGAGGACCAAAGAATTATAGAAGGGCATTGCACCCAAGACTAGTTTAGATGCCAAAACTGGAACTACTCTATTGAACAAAAATACAATTTTTATACACTCCAGAAATAGGGGCAGTCCCCACAATAAAACAAATAATACACATTGAGATAAACACCCCACACGTATTAGATAAAGAGGTGAAGAGGATATCAGTCTAATCCTTTCCTCCAAAAGCCCCTGTCCCCGTTGGGTCCATCACAAACACAATAACAGTTTTTGACCAGTCCTTTATTTAAAAAAAAAAATAAAAAATGGTTCCATCATTGTAATCCATGGTCAATCACAATGTCCAGAGTTGTCAGGACAATGGCCGATGTTCGACTCGAACATCAAGGCCATCACTATTGTGCATCAATGCTCATGGTTTTGGAATGGCATATTTAACAAAACTTGTATATTGTAGGTGTGATGGCCAGGTGTCCACAAACTTTTTATCTTATAGTGTATATATTTCTGTGACTGTAAGTCATTCATATACAACCAATTATTCCATAAAAGCAGTAACATGAGAAAGACCAGCAGGCTATCCACAGGCATTTTAAGTGATTTATGCCAAATATCTTACTATGCACAACAGCTGTTGAAAGCTCTTTATTGCAGCCTCTCATGTCACAGCTCTTTAACTGCTTCCTGACAGCCCTATAGCAGAAATACTGCTACAGAGCAGAACAGGTGCGCAAAATCACGTGTATATACGTGATTTTGCACTTCTGGGTAGGGGGGGGGGGCGCGCGTCCTACACGCCGTTCGCGACCGCAGCTGTCAATCACCGGGGAGGAGGGCTGCTTTGTTTACCCTGTCAACTCGGGCACACTGCTCTGGATGGCTTTGCACAGCCATCCAGAGCAGTGTGCCTACAGTGAAGCACACACCCCCGCCCCCTAGTGAAACACTTCCAGCACACAGTTAACCCTGTGATCACCCCCTCATGTTAGCCCCTTACTGCCAAGTGCCATTAGTACAGGGTCAGTGCTTTTTTTTTTTTTTCTTAGCACTATATTAGTGTCACTGGGAATGCCAGTGTCCCCCCGTGTCAGAATGCCTGCTGCAGTCCCGCTATAAGCTGCTGATCGCCGCCTTTACTTGTTGAAAAAAAAAAATAAAAATTTACTGAAATGATTTATTTCTCATGCCTGCCATGGGTATTTGTGGAGTTACTCCCCAACCAAAATACATTCAGCTACTTCTCCCAAGAATGGGGATACCACATGTGAGGGACTTTTTGGCAGTCTAGCCAAGTACAGGACCCCAAAATCCAATAAGCACCTTCAGGCTTTTAACCGCCTCCCGCCTGCCATATAGTAATATGACGGACACAAGGTGGTTCTCTCGTTCTGGGAGGACATCATATGACGTCCTCCCATTCTCACCACGCATGCATGGCTCCTGGAGCGCGGCGCTGGGCGGTGCGCTGTGTCCCTTGGAACACAGCGGATCACCAATCCACGGAAACAGACAAAGATGTCGGCTTGGTCATGTGATCAGCTGTGTCCAAACACAGCTGATCACAAGTAAACAGGGAAATGCCGGTTATCGGCATTTTTTTGCCCACGAGCTGTCACGCTGACAGCTCATGAGGAGAGCCGGTAATCGGCATTCTTCGGAGGGGACATGTACACAGATCATCAGAGCACTGATGATCAGTGTGCCCTGATGATCTGTGTAGCCCCAGCAGCGCCACCTGTCAGTGTCCATCAGTGCCAGCTCTCAGTGCTCATCCATGCCACCTGCCAGTGCCCATCAGTGCCACATTTCAGTGCCCATCAATGCCACATTTCAGTGCCATCATATCAGTGCCCATCTGAGCCACCTTTCAGTGTCACCTATCAGTGTCGCCTATCAGTGCCAGTCAGTGCCGCCTATCAGTGCCATATATGAGTGCTGCCTTTCAGTGCCCATCAATGATGCCTGTCAATGCCCATCAGTGCCACCTACCAGTGCCTCCTCATCAGTGCCCAGTGCAGCCTATCAGTGCCCATTACTGCAGCCTCATTATGCACATCAGTGAAGGAGAAAAATCACTTATTTACAAAATTTTATAACAAAAACTAAGAAAAAACGTGTTTTTTTTTCAAAATTTTCAGTGGTTTTTGGTTTAAGAAAAAATAAAAAACCCAGAGGTGATTAAATACCACCAAAATAAAGCTCTGTCCCAAAAAAAGTATAAAAATTTCAAAGGGGTACAGTGTTGCATGACTGTGCAATTGTCAAAGTGCAACAGCGCTGAAAGCTGGAAATGGGCCTGGGCAGGAAGGGGGTATAAGTGCCCTGTAGGCTAGTGGTTAAAAGGGCTTTATTTCCTCATTACACTTCCTGACTACCTATCACAGTTTTGGTGGCCCAGAAATGCCAGTATAGCACTAAACCCCCCAAATGAACCCTTTTTGGAAGGTAGACACCCCAAGGAATTTGATAGGAAGCATGGTGAGTATTTTGCAAATCTCGTTTGTTGCCACACGTTTTTGAAAAATAAGAAAGAAAACAAAAACATTTTATTCTTTTTTTAGATTTTAAAACCTTGTGAGAAAAAATGAGATCTGCAAAATACTCACCATGCCTCTTTTTAAATTCCTTAGGGTGTCTACTTTCCAAAAAAGGGGTCATTTGGGGCAGTTGGTGCTATCCTGGAATTTCAGGGCCTCCAAAACTGTGATAGGTAGTGAGGAAGTGAAAAGAGGAAGTTATGCACCTTCAGGCTTTCAAAGTGGTCATTGGATTTCAGGCTCCTGTATGTGGCTAGGCTCCCAAAAATTCTCACATACAGTCATGGCCGAAATTGTGCACCCTTGATATTTCTCCAGGAAATCATGTATTTCTCACGAAACGTATTGCATTAACACATGTTGCTATACACATGTTTATTTTTGTGTGTATTGGGACAAAACAAAAAAAGGGAGGAAAGAAAGCAAATTCGACATAATGTCACACAAACCTCCAAAAATGGGCTGGACAAAAGTATTGGCACCCTTTCACAACTGCGGATAAATAAGAATGTTACAAGCATGTGATGCTCCTGTAAACTCACCTGGGGCAAGTAACAGGTGTGGGCAATATAGAAATCACACCTGAAAGCAGATGACGTTCACTTAACCTTTGCATTTGTGTGTCTGTCTGTGCCACACTAAGCATGGCAACAGAAAGAGGAGACGAGAACTGTCTGAGGACCTGAGAACCAAAATTGTGGCAAAATATCAACAATCTCAAGGTTACAAGTCCATCTCCAGAGAACTAGATTTGCCTTTGTCCACAGTGCGCAACATTATCAAGAAGTTTGCAACCCATGGCACTGTAGCTAATCTCCCTGGTCGTGGACGGATGAGGAAAATTGATGAAAGATTGCAACGCAGAATAGTCCCTCATGGTGGATAATGCCCCAAACATGTTCCAAGACATTCAAGCTGTCCTGCAGGCTCAGGGAGCATCAGTGTCAGCGCGAACTATCCGTCGACATTTAAATGAAATGAAACGCTATGGCAGGAGACCCAGGAGGACCCCACTGCTGACACAGAGACATAAAAAAGCAAGACTACAGTTTGCCAAAAATGTACTTGAGTAAGCCAAAAGCCTTCTGGGAAAACGTCTTGTGGACAGATGAGACCAAGATAGAGCTTTTCGGTAAAGCACATCATTCTACTGTTTACCGAAAACGGAATGAGGCCTACAAAGAACAAAACACAGTACCTACGGTAAAATATGGTGGAGGTTCAATGATGTTTTGGGGTTGTTTTGCTGCCTCTGGCACTGGGTGCCTGACTGTGTGCAAGGCATCATGAAATCTGAGGATTACCAAAGGATTTTGGGTCGCACTGTAGGGCCCAGTGTCAGAAAGCTGGGTTTGCGTCCAAGATCCTGGGTCTTCCAGCAGGACAATGACCCCAAACATACGTCAAAAAGCACTCAGAAATGGATGGCAAAGAAGCGCTGGAAGTTCTGAAGTGGCCAGCAATGAGCCCAGATCTAAATCCCATTGAACACCTGTGGAGAGATCTTAAAATTGCTTGGGAAAAGGTGTCCTTCCAATAAGAGAGACCTGGAGCTGTTTGCAAATGTAGAGTGGTCCAAAATTCCGGGTGAGAGGTGTCAGAAGCTTATTGATGGTTATAGGAAGCGACTGATTTCAGTTATGTTTTTCCAAAGGGTGTGCAACCAAATATTAAGTTTAAGGGTGCCAATACTTTTGTCCAGCCCATTTTTGGGGTTTTGTGTGACATTATGTCATATTTGCTTTTCTGCCTCTGTTTTATATTTGTTCCAATACATACGAATAAACATGTGTATAGCAAAACATGTGTTAATGCAATACCTTTTTTGTGTGAAATACTTTTTTTCAGGAAAAATATCAAGGGTGCCAACAATTTCGGCCATGACTGTATGTGGTATCCCCATACTCGGTAGCAGAATGTATTTTTTGTGGTAAAACAATAAAATCTTCCAGGGACTCAATATGCCTCTCAGCAGATAGCTTAGGGCAGGGGTGGCCAACCTGCGGCTCTCCAGCTGCTGCAGGACTAAAAGTTCCATCATGCCTCTGCAAGTCAGTAACTTCCCATCTTTGCAATGCCTCATGGGAAATGTAGTTCCACAAAAGGACTGGAGAGCCACAGGTTAGCCACCCCTGGCTTAGGGTATCTACTTTCCGAAAAGGGGTCATTTGAGGGTGTTTGTACTATCCTGGTATTTTAGCACCTCAAGAAATGTGGACAGTCTGGAAGTAAAAGCTGTGTAAATTGCAGTATCTATACCATAGTTTGTAGACGCTATAACTTTCACACAAAGCAATCAATATACACTTATTAGAATTATTTTTACCAAAACATGTAGCAGAATACATTTTGGCCTAAATTTATGACTAACTTTGAGTTTACTATATATATTTTTTTATAGCCGAAAGTAAAAAATAGTTTGTTTTTTTCAAAATTTTCAGTCTTTTTTGTTTATAGTGCAAAAGAATAAAAAGTGCACAGGTGATCAAATACCACCGAAAGAAAAGCTCTATTTCTGTGAAAAAAAAGGACGTAAATTTAGTTTGGGTACAGCATTGCATGACTGCGCAATTACCATTTGAAATAGTGCAGTGCTGTCTATGTACAAATGTTGTTAGGAACAGCATTGTAACTCACCTGGTTGGGAATAAAGCTGATCTTGATCACTGCATTATTCTCATCGTGCAGGCCCATAAACTCCACTCCAGGACAACCATAACTGAAGGGAAACTAGGTTAAGAAAATATTTGTTTTTCATTAAAACTACACATGCAGAATGTTGCAACAATCGGTCCCAAAAAAGCCGCAAGATCAGGGAGTGCAGCAACTATATAGACTCAAAGAACAGCAATGGAAATCATACTGACAGGTATCTACTGTCCACACAAAGTCACGAAATAAACAAGATTTGTCATTAAAAAAATGCATTTGTATTATGCTGTACCATGCTCATACTTTATTGATTGACTTCTTAGACTTTATATTTTTCTATTGCATTTGATTAATTACCATTTTATCAAAGGATGGGAAAAAATTATGAATTGTAAATTTTGACAATGTTTTACTGGCAATAGGATTCACTTTTTTTATACTGACAAACTGAGAGTTCAGATCAAGTCTTAGATTCGGAATTGAAATATATTTATACATACAGTATTTAAAAAATACATTTTACATTAAAATGGATGAAGCATCATATATAGTTTTTATTGTGCTTGCTAAGAAATACTGAAGTTTAACACCTACAGGTATTTAGGAGATCACAACACTTCCCCAGATAATGGCTTCATCTGCTTTTCTCATCAGAAAGGTAGAGAAGTATTTTTATAGACACTATTCAGGATCAGCAACTACTTCCTGGAGTGTGAGGGTGGTTTTAGATATTGCACAATCATGCAAATGCATACAATCACAAATCCTGATGCTGTGCAGTTCTTGGGCAGTGTTCACAAATGACTGACAAATCAGCCTCTGCCACAGCCTGCCATTTGATACAAAATTACAATGTTGCAGTGCGATCATTGGGGAAAAAGACCACTGAGGAAATGCTTCCACCTGCATGCAGCAGACTGATGACATCATGTAAGCCTTGACACGTTACCTTACTGGAGCTCAGGAACTGCTTTTGGTATAAACGTAGAGTTTTCTAAAACATTATAACGTTGCTGTATGCCATGGTGATAAGACACAACATGAGTTAAAACAGAGTACAAATAACTTGGGTCTATGCAAGACTAAGCACAGTACAAAAAGTCCAAATGCTTAATAATGATATCCTCACAGGAGGGGAAGATTGGCCAAAGCTTGCTTCAAAACAGGATAGCCAATTCCACAACTATAACCTTTATAAAATAAACCTAGTTCCTGATGGAAATTTACTTCTTACAATCCAGACTGTACCAGTCACCCGGACAGCAGATTTTACCATGAAAAATTAGTGATGGGCCGAACACCCCCATGATCGGTTCACAGTCAAGCATACCGAAAGTTCAACCACAAACTTCGAACAAGGACAATTCACTAAGCGGTAAGATACCACTCAGCTACTAAAATACAGCTCCAGTTATATTATTAAGTCATGCAGTATTTTAGAAGTGATACATTTTTTTAATGTTTCAGCTGTCAGCGAGGAACCTGAATGTCAAAAGCATTGTTGGCATTGCCCAACAATTAAGTGTTTTTTTTTTTCGAGCCTGGTATAGATTTTGAGGGGAACCCACATGCCAAAATTAAAAAAAATAAAAAATAATGCCGTGGGGGTCCCCCCCAAAATCCATACCAGACCCTTATCCAAGCATGCAGCCTGGAAGGGGATGGAGACAACTCTGCCCGGTGGTTGTGGGGGTCTGCAGGTGGGAAAACGAAAAAAAAAACAAAACAAAAAAAAAAAAACACAATAACCCGCTCCACTCTCGACGCTGGCTCCCGCTGTCTGACAGCTGTGCCAGGATGACAGTTCTTAAATATGATAACGTCACAAGGCGGCAGGGTTACCTCCACCCCTTGTGACATTATCATGCGATGTGATTGCCCAAAGCATCAGGTGCATTGCTTTGGCCAATAAATGCACGGTCAGGGAATAGTGCAGTGTATAGCACGGCAGGTAAACAGCCCGCCGAACGCCCTTACTGTTCAAGTGTTCAATGAAAGGACCATGTTTGAGTCAAACTTACGCTGGACACGAACATGAAGCCAATCTCTACTAAAAAAATATCAAAAGGTGTAATTTTGTAAGTTGCAGAATGTGTATTTAACGGGGTAGGGGGGGGGTTACGGGGTGAATTTTGGGTTCTCGTGTTATTGACCAGAGTGCTGGTAAACTTTCAAGGACACACTAGACAGGGATTCCCTTTTACTTGATGATTCACTGCGACATGTCTTTTTTGTAACTTGTAATTTTTGAAAGATCCAATTGAGGCACCTGAAGTGCTGCCAATCTTTAAATAAAAAAAAAAAGACAAAAAAAAAAAAACATTCGCCTCTCAGCTTTATTCCAACCACTAAACCTATTCTGGGCCAAGTCTCCATTAAAATACTTCCTTTGCCCAGAATGCCATGATTTGCGCTCAGCAAAGTGGAAGATGGGGGCAGTTTCCGTGTTAATGTAGGATTGGATGAAAAAGAGCCAGCCTAAATCAGACAATACTCCCAGCATGGCCAGATCTAGGGGGTTACTGGGGTGGGCTATGCCCCCCCCCCCACAGATTTTAGTTCCCCTCTCCAAAGCCAATTGGTCCCCCCCACCACCTTGAATGCTTTGCACCTGCCCTCTGAACCATACTGCAGACTGCTGCACTCCTCTCCTTGCAACTTTGTAGACGTACAGCCCAGCTAAAGCAATGATCAGGTCAGCAGGCCTAACGTTGTGGGGGAGGCTGCCTGTACCTCTCTCGTCTAATTAGCTTACATTGCCCCTTAGGCATCTTCAATATCTCCCGAGGCAGCCGTAGTTGGTGGGTGGGACTGGGGTTGTGGCTGCCTCCTCATCCTCCCAAAAACTCCTTCACCTTGGCTGATCCCGAAGTTGAAGAAGGGGAAAAGGGGAAGAGTGGACACAGCAGCCTAGGAATCGTCATCTTCAGCCATAGGGTAAGTGACTGAGAACACTGTCACTATCATACTGTCACTGTCAGCCCAACCTGCCACTATAATGTCCTAACCTGCCACTATGATCTAATCTGACACTATACTGACCTAGTATAATTCTTTACTGTCTTAGCATGACACTATATTGCTTAATCTGATACTACACTGCCCTAGCCTGACAGTATACTCATCTCAGCTATGCGTTGTGTGGGAAGGAGGAGCTCTGCCGACTGTGCTCAGGCTGTGCACGCTGCAGAGATTGGAGAAGCAGCTCTGCCAAGTGCCCTGTCCTCTGCCCTGCCAGCAGTGACCCCTGTCCTCTGCCCTGCAATTGATGGCCTCTGTACACTGCCCTATAAACTGCTGACCTCCCATGCTCTGCCCCTTAAAAAGTTTTAATGCACTTTCACATCAAACAGGCTAGATTCGGCCCTGGCTCCCATCTTTATCCTGGTGTATACTGCCTTCCAATAGTCTCTATTAAGTGCAGTAACAATTTAAATGCTGCAATTTTAAATATAAGAACACCTGAGTGCCAGAAGTAATAAGAAATGGTTTAAGCAAAGGAGGAAGGGTGTGCGTTATTTTTAAGCAAACTTCCACTTTATTAGGTTTTTACTTCTGTCTGTGAAACCACTGGGTAGATGTTCCTCATGTCTTTTGTCACTATGACATGAGGACAAGAAATGGGGGGAGAGCAGATTTCACTGGGATAGGATGGCACAGAAAGAAATAAAAAGCACAGTCAGGAACTCTAACCCTTCCCGCTCTACTAAAAATGTGTTTTTATTGTTGCCTGGAACCCTGGAGAGAGATATTTCCCATTAGATCCTTTTTACAGAGACACTGAAAGCAAACAAAAAAGCTAGCTCTAACCTTTGCATGAGCTGTCCAAAAACACAATGAGAAACTTTACCTGGAGTTACGATTTAATGCTCTACTCCAACCTTTATAAATATATATAACTATAATGTTCTAATGCTGGTTTAGTGATAAAAAAAGAATTCTACATAACATGCATTACTGCTGGTCCTGTCTTGTATTTGATGTTGGGCAGGGGGTTGTCAAACAACCAGTGAATAAGAAAGGCTTCTTTGGACCAGAGGAAAAAAAAAAAAAAAGTTAAAATAAAAAACTCTGCCTATCCTATTCTCCAAAAGATTAAATGAAAATTATGTCTGATTATCAGAGTAACTAATACAAACTGTATATTTAGTGTGTGTGTGGTCCCTAAATAGAGATATTAAATCTATCTTAAGGAGTTCCTCACTCTTCTTAAAAGTTCCTATTTAAAGAAAGTATTTAAAGAAAGTATGCCAGAGTTCTCTTTAATTACTCAAAAAGGACTGTGAATAAGTAGTATTTATAGTTGTGTAGATGGTTTTGAAGTCTCCAATCCTGCAGAAGAAAGGTACAGCTGGCTGTACAGCTCTGTGACCTATTTGGAGGGAATGGGCACAATTTTTAAGTTGAACAGGTCATCAAACAGCCTAAAGAGATAGAACATACAGACATAACCAAGCTCTGGAAAGAATCAGCAAAGTAGTCCAGAGCAAGTGACATTTTTCGATAGGAATATCTGTATTGCCTCCTCCATGAGGTCTGGAGAGAGGGACTTGGCGATTCTAAGTCAGTTGTTGATGAAACACATTGAGTGGGAGTAGTCCGATGTCCTCAACACATCCAACTAGAAATATCAGTGACCCCACCTCTAATGCACAAATGTGGTGCTGTAAAATAAGGAGTTTGCTGTATAGCAGTTGGAAATGTATTATATTTTATATTGTTTTTTAATAAAAGGTTTTGGGTATTACACTATGCTAGTCTCTTGAAAGGCTACACAAAGTTAGACCAACAGAGAGAATGATCAATACCTGGTGAGTGCTTATCCCTTAAGGCTAGGTTCACATCTGCGCAGGCAGTTCCCACTGCAGTTCTGCACCCGGCCACACAAAAAAAAACATGCTGGATGCGTGCAGGCGCTATTAATCCTAATGGCACGCCACACACACTGGAAACCAGTCCAGCACTTGGAATCGCACTGCATTTGCAGTTCCCTTGCGGGCTGCGATTCCTAAAATGCTGCATGAACCTTTTCCCTGCCCTTTCAGAAGGCACAGAAGCCC